TCTGGTGACACCTAAGACCTTCAGGTTTGGCGAGTAAGCCAAACCCAAGTCTCTTGGGTCTGGCGGGGATGCGATATCCAAGACAATTGAGTCTGCCAGTCATGTCAAACTCATATCTTTTTGGTCTGATGGGTTAAGCCAGATCTAAAACACTCGGGTCTTGCGGTTGAGCTGGATCTTAGAGACTTGAGTGTGGCGCCCATGCTTGGGTCTTAAATGATTGCTAGACCTAGTGTTCGGGTCTTAAATGGTTGCTAGACCTAGGGTCTGGTGATTGGGTCTGGCGATCATGCCAAATCCCAGCGTTTTGGGCTGGACTGCCATAACCAAACTGAATTTTTTTTACATAATAACAAATACACAATAAAAATCCAATGCGTTTTAGTATATAAGTAATAAATTTAATAATTGACATATATTGCATGATAAAATTATCATTAATTTTACTAGTGGCTACTACATCAGTAAAGAGAATATTTTCAGCATTGAAATTGGTTAAAAGTCGATTACACAATCGAATTGGGTAATTATATTTTTTGGATTTTTTAGATTCTAATTAATTAATGGAAAAGTTGAAGTTAATTATTAAATTATTCTTGTTTTTTTCACAAGTATTTAACTTTTTAATTTGTAAATACATCGATCATTTTTAAAAACCAACATTTACACTTTTTAAATTTGCTTTTATAATAATTATTATTATTTATGTGATAATTTCAACCATATTTTTAAGCCTTATACCAAATACCTTCTAAGAGTAATACCAAATGAAGTTTTTGTTTAAAAAAACATATTTTTGAACCTAGTTGTTTTATGTGTTTACATTTTAACCGTAAACTTCATTTCCCACTCATTTCACTATTTGAATATTGAGTTTTGGTCCTTGAAATTCTTATAAAAGTTCATTTGGGTTCCTAAAGTTTTTTCTTTTATCCTCATAGTTTTAGCTATTTATATTTAATTATAAACCTTCATTTTCCTCACATTTTAATTCCTTCATGTTGCGATTATAAAGAGAAATATTTTGGTGAGTTGTATTTAAGAACAAAAAATATTGAGAGTTGTATTTTAAATGAAACAGACCCAACCAAGACCTCGAGTTACCCAGATCCTAGATTGACCCATCAGGCAGGGCTGGGTTTGATAACTATAATAACAACCATATCAGACCAAAGATATTAGGTATATTTAATGACTATGTCAAACCTAATAGGCTTGAATCTGGTAATTGAGTCTCACCCAAGACCCTTAGGTCTGGTGATAACTAAGACCTTCAGGTTTGACGAGTAAGCCAAACCCAAATCTCTTGGGTTTGGTGGTCATGTGACATCCAAGATAATTGAGTCTCATAATCATGCCATACCCATATCTCTTTGATCTGACGGGTCAAACCAGACCTAAAACATTTGGATCTTGCGGTTGAGCCAGACTTTAGAGACTTGGATGTGGTGGCCATGCTTGGATCTTAAATGGTTGCTAGACCTAGGGTCTGGTGATTGGGTCTAGCGATCATGCTAAACCCTAGCGTTTTGGGTTGGACTGCCATAACTAAACTGAATTTTTTTATATATATAATAACAAATACACAGTGAAAATCCAACGCATTTTAGTATATAAATAATAAATCTAATAATTAGCATATATTGCATGATAAAATTATCATTAATTTTACTAGTGGCTCCTGCATCAATAAAGAGAATATTTTTAGCATTGAAATTGGTTAAAAGTCGATTACACAATCGAATTGGGTAATTATATTTTTTGGATTTTTTAGATCTTAATTAATTAATGGAAAAGTTGAAGTTAATTATTAAATTATTCTTGTTTTTTTTCACAAGTATTTAACTTTTTTTAATTTGTAAATACACGACTTATTTTTAAAAACCAACATTTACACTTTTAAAATTTGCTTTTATAATAATAATAATTATTATTTATGTGATAATTTCAACCATATTTTTAAGCCTTATACCAAATACCTTCTGAGAGTAATACCACGTAAAGATTAAAAAAAAAAACATATTTTTGAACCTAGTTGTTTTATATGTTTATATTTTTGCCGTAAACTTCATTTCCCACTCGTTTTACTATTTGAATATTGAGTTTTGGTCCTTGAAATTCTCATAAAAGTTCATTTGAGTTCCTAAAGTTTTTTCTTTTATCCTCATAGTTTTAGCTATTTATATTTAATTTTAAATCTTTATTTTCCTTATATTTCAATTCCTTGATGTTACGAGTATAAAGAGAAAGTTGCTGGATAAAAAGAAAAGGATTTTGGTGAGTTGTATTTTAAGAATAAAAAATATTTATCTTAGTGCACATAAATTTATCTTTTAAACACGTAATAAAAAAAATCTTTTAAAAGTACCCTTAAATAAAATAAAAAAAGGAGGTTTTATCTTTTTTTTACTGGTCACATTATTTTATTTCTTTTTAATTACATTCTTTAAAGCTGTATTTTCATGGTAACCATTGCTATCAAACCCAACCTAGGGGTTAACCCGACTAATACTCTAAGTCTTGGTTTACATGGGTTGACTCGAGTCAACTAGGAAAAATTAAAAAATATTTGAGATTTTAATATTTTATATAAGAAAATAAGAAATAATCAACATGGATATAAGCTATACATGTTGTAAACAATTAAGTTTAAAAGATTATTTCAAAAGGTTTTTTATTTCACGGTGAAAATATACTATCTTATTTTTCTAAGTTGAAGTATCTAGATAAAAAAGTTTTCTATCCTACATTGAATAAATATTAACTTTTTTCCTATGAATAAACAACTGAAAAATATATTAAAAGGAGGTATCTAGGTAGAAGAAAAACATATTTAATAAAAAAAAAAATCTATATCAGGCTTTTATTGGGTCACCCGAGTTCCAGGTTTACCTGGTGTGTCAACTAGTTTACTCTAGGCCACTTAGAAGCCTAAATATTGAATGAAACATACCTTATAAAGACCCCGAGTCACCAAATTTGATATTTTATTATTTTATATGAAAATTTCAAGAAACAATCCGTGTAGATATATGTTATATATGTTGTAAATAATTAAATTTAAAAGATTATTTTAAAAAAAAAAATTTATCCCATATTAGAAAGATATTATATTATTTTCATAAATTAAATTATTTAAAATAAAAAGATTTTTTATCTTATATTATGAAGAACATAAAGTATATATATTAAAAGATTTTAAATTTCACATTAAAAAAATAAAATATTCTTTTAGTATTTATATAATGAATTTTGAAATGAATTGGTAACTAAATGAAAAATATATATATAAAAAAAATTTTGAATAGAAAAAAATATTTTAAAAAAATAATCTCTATTAAGTTTTTACCGGGTCAGTTTAGTTTCAGCTATTGATCCTATGGACAATAATATCTAATATTATTAGATCCATAAATAAAAAGAAATAAATGAAAAGAAAGAGAAGTTAACATGATTATTTTTGTGGGTTGGGAAGTAGTAATGGAACTGTATTGTTTGAATTGTTGCAGTTAGGTTGAATTAAATAAGAAATGTACGAATTGTAATGAATGATAGGAGAGAGAAAGGATGCAAAGATAAGTTTTGAATGTTTTTTTTTTAGATCAAGAAGGTTTAACCTGTGATCCAACATGTAAAAAGCAGAAAAAATTGCTTCTCGTAACCAAGTTCCAACCTTGGGCACATGGTGGGCCCATCATTTTTATACTTTGAGAGAAAACGCATACACTGCCTCAAGGACAAACACACTAAGCCGGCTTCCTCGAGTTTTCTTGTCTCTTCCTTTCCTTCGAAGCCTACGTATTCCCATCATGGAATTCAGTGGCTTATCATTCTCTCTCACATAATCACTCTCTCACCCTTTCGCAAAAATCCACCAAGGCTCCTGCTTTCCACTACTCCTTTTCTCTCACATATTCCCACCCTCACCCTTTCTGCAAAAATCCACCATGGCTCTGGAGTTGATCGGAGGATCAATTCTCTCTGCTCTCATTGAGGTTCTGGTCGACAGGTTGGCCTCTCGTGAGGTTCTGGGCTTCTTCGAAAGCCACAAACTCGATGCTGGTCTTCTGGAAAAGCTGAATGAAACACTGAATACTGTCAACGGACTACTCGACGATGCGGAGGAGAAGCAGATTACAAAGCATGCTGTGAAGAACTGGCTTGATGATGTTAAACACGCTGTGTATGAAGCTGAGGACATATTGGAGGAGATTAATTATGAATATCTACGATCCAAGGACATTGATGCCCCTCGACCTGACAGCAATTGGGTAAGCATATGTTTTTGCACCTATAGACCTTGCTTCCTCATAAAATGTTTTTATTGATCCCTCTATTTGTTTGGTTTTTACTTTCATGTATAATTAATTTTAGGCATAGTTTTTGTCTTTATGTGAGTTTTAATTAAAAAGTATTCATTGTTACATATGCAACTAATATTATTGGCTTTTGGTGTCCGTGGTGAAATTATGCTTGCAAATTCTCATTTATTAACTAGTTTTCTAAACATTCGCCTTGGATTTTTAAAATCTGAACTATTTATATAAATTATCACTATACCATTAAACAGTTTTATCAACAAATTAATTCTATCAATGTAAGACGTGACATATATCGGTAAAATAATTATCGATAGCGCACTGATAAAATATGTTTGTCGGTATACTAATCATCAGTAATTCCCCGTTTTGTCGCTAATATCTTTTTAAAACTTGACTTTTACTGTTTAATTACATTAAGTTAGCATCAACAATTGTAAATTCTTGAAAAAGACCTGTAGAAAGAAAATGTTTACATTAAGTTAGCATCAACAATTTAATGGCATTAACTTATTAATTCACTAGATGTAAAAATCTTAATGTTTATGTTTTGATATTATAAAATTATAATGTTTTCCTGAATTCTATCTCATATATTTAGTCCACCATTGCAGGTAAGGAATCTGGTTCCATTTCTAAATCCTGCTAATAGAAGGATGAAAGAGATGGAAGCAGAGTTACAAAAGATCCTTGAGAAGCTCGAACGTTTACTTGAACACAAGGGTGATCTGCGCCACATAG